CAGAAAATGGAGAAGGGTCTAGGACCGAAACGTCAGCTTTCCTGTTCCTCTGATGCTGCTTGGCCTGCTGTGTTCATCCAGCTCTACACCTTATTATCTCAGATTCTCCAGCATCTGCAGGTCCTACAATCTCTGATTTTCCTAATGCTGTTTCACCGTACACCCGCCCCGCTCCCCGTACCGCCACCCTCCCCATTCCAGGAAGCTCAGATTTAACCTGATGCATAGTCTTCTACCCATCAGCAATTCTGCTGGAGCTATCCTGTAGTTGCATGAGGGGCGGTCCTATAATCAAATAGGAACTGGAAGAGTTTGGTATCTAACAAAGGCATAGGCTGTTTCTACAAGACTGCTTTCAAAGTTTGGACTGTTCTTTCTGCCAGGCCAACGGATGATGGATGGTGTGGAATGGTCCTTATATGTCGAATCCATTAGACTTTAGGAAATACTCAAATTCCATGCTGGTAAACAATGGCCTATTATCTGTGACCAACACTTCCAGGAATCCGTCTATCGCAAAAGATGTGCGCAGTTTTTCTATCGTCGTTCTCGTGTTTGACAACTGAACTCTGCTTGTCCAACCACTTTGAGTGGCTGTCCGCAATAACTAAGAACATTGGGCCTATTAAAGGACCTGCATAGCTGATGTGTAACCGAGTCCAGGATTAACCCAGTCATTCCCACGAACATGGGGGAGCCACTGGCAGTAATTTTCGATTTTGTTGGCACTCTGGGCACCAATCCAGTAACACGGCTACATCTGCATCTGCGCCTGTCCACCATATATAAATTCTCACCAACATCTTCATTTTGTAGACTCCTGGATGACCCTGGGGTGAAGTTCAGCCAGTACCTGGTGGCAACTTTTGCTCGGGGCAATCACTCTTGCTGTCCATAATAATATGCCATCCTCTATCCTCTACTGTGACCTGGTCTCTCCAGTTCCAGAAATGTTTCAATTCTGGTTTCCCCCATCACCACCAGCTGTTTCAGTTTTGCCAGGACTGGATCTTTCTGCATCCAAAGTCTGATATTGTTAGCTCTGACTGGAGGTCTGTCAAAAAAATTTAAAACCATTACAGACTCTTCCAGTGGCAGAGTGGTGGTGTATCTGCCAGCAAGAGGTGGCTCAATGCAGTCGCATTTGCTGGCCTCCCAAACAGTGTTCCAACTTGTAATTATATGCTCTTAGTCCTGAAGCCCACTGTTGAATTTGGGCTGAAGCTATGACTGGCATTGTCTTGTCTTATTTAAGTAGGCCTACTAGAGGTTTGTGGTCTGTTATAATTACAAATTTACATCCATAAAGGTATTGATGTAATTTTCTGACTCCAAATATGACCATCAAACATTCCTTCTCTTATTAGGGTGTATTTACCATCTGCATTGGTCAAAGTCCTGAATGCATATGATATCGGGCGTTCCTCTTCATTGGGCCACCTGTGCACCAATACAAACCGAAGCTGTATAGGGAGGCATTGCATGTCAATACCAGAACTTGCTTGGAATCACGGTGTGCCAACATCTTAGAGAATGATCACAGTTTTGTCACTTCCTTCAAAGCTATGGCTTGGCTACATGTCCATTTCCAAGGCTGACTCTTGTTTAGGAGTTGTTGCAAAGGTGTCAGGATGGAGGCCAGGTTATGTATGAACTTTCTGTAATAATTCACCAGCCCAAGGAAAGACCGAAGCTTCAGTACAGATGTGGGAGCCGGAACATCTTTGATTACCTTCAGTTTATCTTCGAACAGATATAATCCAGTCTTCTCCACTCTGTAGCCCCAGTAGGTCATTTGGGGTGCCAGGAACACACATTTTTCCCTTCTTAGGTGTACACCCATCTGGGAGAACTGTCTAAGGAGTATGTCCAAGTTCTCTATTTGTTTTCCCTGTTACTGGCACATGATGTAGACAAATGGCAACCTGGGGTAGACCTTGCAAAATTTTCTCCATTATCCTCTGCCGGTCATTTAGCCTTGTCAAAAATCCTGATAAGGATTCCCCTGGTTCTCGAACTTCTAAGTAAAATTTAGAATTGGAGGAAGCTCGGAATTGTAATATTCTTTAACTAAATCCATCAACTCTTGAAAGGTTTTAACATCTGGCGTCTCAGGAAATGTTAGGCTCTTAATAACCAAAAAACTGTGGATCCACAAGCTGTCAGGAGGATTAATTGTTGCTTTGCATCTGTCCCAGTATCATTTGAAAAGATAACACACTCTTTCCATAAACTGACCCCAGTCCTCGATGGCAGGGTCAAACGAGTCATGCTTCCCAAGTAAGGGCATGATGCCAGAAATGCTTACCCCAAATCGAAGACAAATGTTGTGAGAATGTTTCTTTAGAAATGTGCTTTACTCTCGTCAACACTAAAGTAACTCTACAGAAGACAGTATTCCTTCACCAAGTCATTCCTTATTTATACATGGAAAGTCCTTAATGCTGGTCCAGTTGCCTCAGAGCCAGCTCTCAGGGCATCAGAATGTCTGACACTCCTCTTTTTTTGTCTATCAGCCAGGGATCCCTGATTGGATCAGATTAACAGCCTCATCAGGGAACATATTCTATAAGGTTCACCTGGCTGACCTCAGTATGATCACTACACCTACCATGCTCCCTGATATTGTTCCACATATTCCACAATGACCTTGTGTTTGACCCTGTCACCATTCTTGTCTCCACATCTACAAATGCTTCTGCTTTTCCACACCACTCCCAATCATTGACATCCCTCACTTTCTGGCAGTGATTGCCTTGCTTCTCCCATAGGTTCCCCTGAATCCTCTCTGAACCATCGACAGATAGATCCCTAGGACTGTATTCACTCCAAAACTCTGACTGACGTCAATGAGCAGACCCTAGACATGACTGTCCAGACTCCTCACAATTGTGTTTGCAGCTTCCTGACTAATGGTGCATGATTCCCTTGACTGTTTGTGAAGGCGCTGCAGGACTGATCATTGCCCACTCCCCAAACTGCAGCTGGACAGATCCGCTGACTGTGAGCGTCCCAAGCAGACAACTGACTTTGGTGAAACCCCTGGACTATGCGAGTCTGTGCCCATGACTGATGGTACCAGTGTCCACTGCCTGATAGTGACTTCTCCTCTTGAATGGACTGAGGACTAAGCTCCACCCAGTTTCTGACACGGCTATTTGGCTGCATAATCACGCGCATGTGTGTGTGTGTGTGTGTGTATGTGTGTGTGTGGCACAGGCAGTGGGCACCTGCTGTGGGTTTTAGATTGATGTCTGCCTGTGATGTTCACCAAAATGTACCCCAACCTTCCAACCCATCCAAGCAGCCAATGTGGCTGTCTGAGTGAACACATCCAAGGGGCAGCAGTGGCTGACTTTGGCTTTGGCTGAAGTGCCAGTATGCTAACAGGTACGGCATTGCATGGCAAGACAAGGCAAGGCATGGATACTGTCAGCATGCAGGTAAATGCTAAGTGAGTGAGCACTAAAATAGCAAGTGTGCAGCTCTGAAATGAAGCCTGGGCCAATCCTTAAACTGGGTTCCTGCTGCAGTCTTTCAATGCCAGCTGCCCAGTATGCCCTGCAATGCAAATTTGTGCATCCTGAGCAACCTGTCAGAGTATTATGGCTGAAATGCATTGGCAGATGCCGGATGCCAAAGTCCATAGATGAGGGATGCATGCAGCCAGTGCCCGTGGATCATGCCTTGAGATGCTGTTTGGTGCTGAGCAACATGGAGGCTTCTCACAGCCAACATGCAAGCAAAAGTCACCAAATACCCTCTGACTTCACATAAAGATTTTTCTATGTCTAATTTGTTCAGTGTGCTTGATAAGATAGAAAGCTGAGGTGATTTGTGCCATTGTGAGATGTTTAACAAGCAATGATCCCTCTTCCTAGGCAACTCACTAGAGACTAGTGAGAAATACACCTCACCGCTTGGCAGGTACACATAAGATGCAGTGTGTTGCTCGTGACATCAAGATAGATTTCACCAGACTTGCTGTACATTTTTGCCATAGCTCATATTGTTAAGGTTTCATCCAGAGGAATGGGAGGAGCTCATTTAGCCTCTTGAGCCTGTTCCATCATTCACTGACATGCTGGCTAATCCACTAACTAACTGTGCCTCCCTTAGTACCTTGGGTTAACAAAATATTTCAATTTCAGAATTAAAATGAACAATCAATCAAGCATCAATTGTCATTTATAGAGGCAAGTTTGAAACTTGTCCCAACCTTCAACTGTCCAAGGTGGACATCCTCACATTCTCTTTTTCTAATATCCAGAAGTGGCCTTACACACAATTGAATTTAGTTTTCCCCATCATCAAATCACCTGTGGTATATTTCCACCTATTAGTCATTCATGTTTTACAATTTATTAATTTACACGCAACACTTGTAATGCAGACCACCATAGGTGAGGGAGAGGTAGGGAGGCAGGGAGGGGCTAAATCAAGATGGAGTTTAAAGAGGATCCTCACACTTTCCCATATAGAATTCCATTTGAGGCAGTTGTGTTCACTCACTTAATCTATCAATTTCCATTTCAAATTTTCTGTGCTTGTTTACAATGTTTACTGTGTCACTTGGCGACATCATCAAATTTGGTTCTGTCTCCATACAGCAAATCATTTATAAATCGTGAAAAACTGAGGCCTGAGTAAAATCATTGGCAGACACCAATAGTCACATTCTGCCAAATGCAGTACATAACGATTATCCCTGTTCTGAGTCCCCTTCTTCTTATTCAGTAAAAGAATGTGTCTGGGAACTTTCTGCCATAACCTTTTTGAAGCTAATAAATATTGGACAAGAACTCTTTCAATTTGAAAATGTTATTTGTTAAAATTAAGCTCATGATCCAATTTTGTTTTCTGTTTGTAGCTGTTCTTGCTGAGCTCTCCTCCTTTGGCTCACATTGTTTTGTGGAATTTGCCTGGTCTTGTTTGCATTATGTTTTGACTGGTGTGAATTCATGGACAAGGAAACATCATGCATGGCTCCACAGCAGTTATAGGACAGTGGCAGACCAGGTGGGAAATGTACCTTCTATAGCCTTCAAACTAAATTACATCCAAATGAGGTTGCCCTTAGATCTCCATATACACTTCACCTCCTTTAAATATCCTGGAATGCAATCTTGTGAATATCTATGAGGCATTGATTCTATTCTTATAAACACATCATTTGGGGTGGCACAGTGGCTCAGTGGTTAGCACTGCAGCCTCACAGCACCACAGACCCGGGTTTGATTCCACCCTCAGGCGACTGTCTGTGAGGAGTTTGCACATTCTCCCCGTGTCTGCATGGGTTTCCTCCCACAGTCCAAAGATGTGCAGGCTAGGTTGATTGGCCATGCTAAATTGCCCGGCAGTATCCAGGAATGTGCTGACTAGGTCAGTTAACTATGGTAAATGCGGGGTTACAGGGATGGAGTGGGTCTGGATGGGATGCTCTTCAGATGGTCAGTGCAGACCTGACGGGCCAAATGGCCTCAGTCTTCACTGTAGAGGTTCTACATTGAGATGAATTATCTTGTTGTGGGGTGGGTTCGATGAATTGACCAGTTTATTCTCACACATTATTTTTGTAAGTTTATTTGAGGAGATATGATGACAGATAGCTAAATTCTTATTGAAAAGGTAAGTTTAAAGAAGAATCTTAATGGAGCACTGAGAAGTGGAGTATTGGAAAGGTTTAGGGTTGGCATTCCAATGCTTCAGACCTTAGGCAAATGACAACTCCTAATGATGGAACAAACAATAAGCAAGAGGTAGTTCAATGACATGAATGTACGAGTCATTTTTGTTAACCGACAATATAACTCTACATTTCATGACTTCCATACAAACAGAAGTACTGAAAAAGTCTGACACCAACTTTTTAACGCAATGTTGGTGGGCAAGTTATTAGTTTCAGCAACAAGTGTGAGTTCATTATTTCTTGTTTGTGGGAACCAGAGGACGTAAGCATATAGCCAATTACACAATAAAACAAAGTTGTCAGACTTGACTCTTCAAAACTATTTATCACATTTTCTTTAAAAAGAAAAGCATAGGGCAGAATCTTATAGAGGTCTGAGTGAGATTTGTGACAGAATCAAACATGAAGTCCAGCAAAGCCCAACTTTATATTGGAAGCAACTCATGCCATCCTTTACACTTCCGACAAGCGCTACGCAAGTTTCTTGCTAGGTAACAGTGAGTTACCAATTAAGAGGGATTTTTGCTTGTTAAATAGCCCAATTTGTCTCATTAATATTCAGCTTTCTATCTTATTACACTGGACAAACAAACAAATTTGATGTTGAGAAAACCCAACATGGAAACCTGTTGGCAAAATCAATTCGCCAATTGCTTTGAAGGACCTCCATGTTCTGTACGACTAAACTGCAGTCTTGCCTTGTCTTACCATGCTAAGCTTGTTACTGCAATGGTACTTTAACCAGCACCAAAGGTTCTCAATACTGCCTTATTGAAATGCTCTTTTGACCAGACACATAAACATATAGCTTGTCATGCTGGTCAACTGGGGTCTGTCTGGGAAGGGCACATTTTGCTGTATGGAACACCGAGACATTAATCTATCACCTATTGTGTGTGTCAACTCCTTGAACAGCAAACACACCATACCTTTATTCAACCAAATGGCAATTTTGGAAATTCAGAGGGGCTGGTCCTCAGTCCAGTCAAGGCAGAGCCTCTGGGTATAGGCTGGCCACCAATATCCACTACAAACCCACCAACTCCCCGTTACTTTGACAATACATCCTCACACCCTGCTTCCAGTAAAGACTCTTTTCCGTTCTCCCAGTTCCTCTGTCTCTGTCGCATCTGTTCTGATGATGCCAATGTCGATAAGGGAGCCTCTGAAATGTCCACCTTTTACCTCAAGGATTCCCCAGTACTGTGGTTGACAGGGCCATCAGCTGGGTTCAATGCATCTCCTGCTCTTCAGCCCTACCATCCAGCCCACCCACCCACAATGGCAGTAAGGTCCCCCTTGTCCTCACCTACCATCCCATTAGCATCCACATCCATAGGATCATTAGCCATCTGTTATGGAGCAGATCAAACCCCCTTCAAATGTATCAACGAGATAGCTTCGGCCCTAACTTTTATCTTATTTATAGGCAAGTGTCAGGTACTATGTTCCAGATGTAATTTGATTGGTTACTCTACTCAGCTTTAAGCAAAACACACTTCATTCTTACTCTACAGTTAAAATACAAAAGAAAGAAAAATTAGTATAACTTTAATTCGATTGGAACACTTAGTAGAATAATAGATTATTTTATGACTAAACAGCAACTGTTGCAGTGTAGTAACATCCTGTAAACACACCCATTGCAAAGGCAAATTCAGTAAAATAGATTGTCTCACATGCGATGTGTCCCCAGTCCAGGAGGAAAGAACATCAAGAGAAACTCTGGTAAAGTGAGAGAACTCCAGCTTTTGTTGCGGCTGAGAGAGGTGTAACAGCTTCAATAGCCAATTTCAATAAACACAAACTACTGAAAACTAAACCAAAACTCTGGTTCTGTGGGAGCCCGACTCCAACGATTCATGTTGCTTCTATTGATCCAACTTTATGAAAAAAAAGCCAAGGCCTCACAAGCTGTTAACTTTATTAGCTTGGAGGAGATAGCTCAGTACCTATGGCTCAAAACCTCTCCCCAAAAAAAAAGGACAAAATACACTTCTTAAAACCATAGTACTGTCACATGCCATTTCCACCACCACCAGACACATATTCCCATTCCCTCCCTTGTCAGCCTTCTGCGGGGACTATTCCCTCTGGGAAACCCTGGTCCACTCCTCCTTCACTCCCAACACACCCCACACACCCACAGCATCTTCCTCTGCAATTGAAGGTATAACACCTGCCCATTTACTTCCTTCTTCCTCATCATCCAAGGCCCTAAATACATATTCCAGGTGAAGCAGTGCTTTACCTGCACGTCATTCAATATAGTCTACTGTATTCGCTGCGCACAATGTGGTGTCCTCTATGTTGGGGAAATGGAGCACATACTGGGTGACCGCTTTCAGAACACCTACATTCTGTCTGCAGAAATGACCCTGAGATT